GCCACTTTTTTCGATAAATTAAAACTTAGTCATCATCCAAAAATTCACACAATTATCAATTTTCATACTACCTCCGTCCTAAAAAATTTTGTCATTTCAAAAAATTTGAACCATGATTTTGATTAGTATAGTATTATGGAAGTTATAAATTTTATACTTTTATGAAAGTATTTTTAACAAAGAACATTTTCATATAATTTTTATATTATAAATAATTCTCAATAAAAAAATATAATTGGTCAAAGTATTGAAAATGGAAAAGTTTTTGGGACAGAGGTAGTATTACATAGTTAATGAATTTCTTATAAACTATAATTGTACAAAACATAAATAACTAGCAATTACCAAATGAGTAATCAAAGTAATGGTAATATGGTATACATGTATATATAATTATAAATTTATATAAATTAATAAAATTATAATTCGGTTCAGTTCGGTCCGGTACCGGTTCTCATTTTATGAGAACCGTTCATGGCATGGTATGGAATCAGTCCGGTCCGGTTCGGGACAAAATTTTTGAGAACCGTTTGAAATCCCGTTTTCTGGTCCGGTACCATACCGGTCCGGTCCGGTACCATGCCGGTTCGGTTATTTTGCCCACCCCTATGTTTGAGAGAGAAGGAAGAATGTAAGGTTTGAATGATTTGTTGGATAACAGTAGGATTATTGCCAATGACTAGAATATCATCAACATAGATTAGGATGTAGATTTGGATTCCAAACTTTAAGTATATAAGAAGAGAAGGATCACATTTGCTTTGTTTGAACCCAACATTGTACATAACTGAAGTGAGCTTGTGAAACCAAGCTCTAAGAGCTTGTTTTAGGACATATAAGGATTTATGTAGTCTGCAAACAAGAGAGGTGCAAACAAGAGAGGTGTCTTTAGCTTGAAAGCCTGGGGGTTGTGACATGTATACCTCTTCCTCAAGGTCCCCATTTAGGAAAGCATTGTTGGCATCAAGTTGTTGTATAGACCATTGATGAGAGACAGCAAGTGTGAGAAGAATCCTGATGGTGACAGGTTTGACTACTGGAGAAAATGTTTCTCCAAATTCCAAAATCAAACCCAAATCTTTGATGAAATCCTTTGGCTACCAACCTTGCTTTGAACTTATTCACAGAGCCATCAGGATTTTCTTTGACTCTGAATACCCATTTGCAACCAATAACTTGCTTTCCTGGAGGAAGAGAAACTAGAGACCAAGTATTATTAGCTAGCAAGGCATTGTATTCAGATTGCATGGCTGCAAACCAAGGTGGAGAGGAGAGAGCCTGCTTAACTAATTTGGGCTCTATATGGGCTACCAGTAAGGTGGGATTAAGTCTAGGTTTAACAATCCCAGATTTGGATCTGGTTTGCATGGGATGAGTTAGGGGTGGGCATAATGGTTTGGTTTGACCGAACCGTACCAAACCGAATTAAACCAAACTGAAGCCGAACCATTTGTAATTTGGTTTGAGTTTGGTAGTATTCCACCCAACCCGTATTAAACCGAACCAAACCGAACCGAAATCACAAAACCGAATAAAACCGAATAAAACCGAACTAATCTAAAAATAAAATAATTTTCTAATTTTTTTTAAAATAACAAATCAAAACCAAGTTACACCAAACTAAACCAAACCAAAATATAAGATTTCTCTCATTAATTTGATTGATGTTAATCTTTTTGAAGCTTTAATTCTTTTATTTTAGTGTCCAGGGCTAGAGTTTACTACAAGAGTTACATTCACAACTATAACAAATATAGTGGTTTAAGTAGATAGTATTTAACTATAATTTATTATCTACTATTACAGTACTACTATATATTTGGTTCATTACTTACAAACACGGGTTTTGTTTTTGTTTCGGCTTTATATATAATTTGATTCATTCCCGTTGTTGTTGCTTAGAAATATGTCATGCTTATATATTTTTGGAAAAATAACTTTTAATAATACCAACTATCATCCTAAGTAGCACCGGTACGGAAACGAAAATGGGGACGGAAACAGGGACAAGGAAACCTTAATCTCAAAAATTAAGGGTACGGGTACGGCGAGGAAACGTCGCACTAAAAACTAAAGTATTAGTAATAAAACTAGATGACTATAAAGTAAAAAAGCACAATAAAAATCGGTTTATTCACTAAACTTTATACTTTTTAAGAAATTTATTTATTTAAATAAACTTTTTTATTGATTGAACAAAACAAAGTTACAAAAGCAAAAGAAAAGTAACTCATAAAATGATAAAAGTAACTCATACATACGAGGCAGTACGCACAACCGCACAGTTTAATACTAGTATACTAACAGTACCACAAATCCGACAACTGCAATTGGTGAAGGGCGAAGGGGGAAGCTGATTATTTGAACACAGATGGCTGGCGGCTGCAATCGGTGAAGGACGAAGGGCGAAGCTGACTGGACCGCTGGAGGCGAGATGGAACTGGAACTGCTCCCTTGCGGACGATTAACATAGCGATTAAGGTTAGGTTGGGGCGTTGGGGCGTTGGGGCGCTGCGTTTTTTTTTAATTTGGGCCCGGAAACGTTTCTATGGGCTGATGTGGCGTTTCCTCAAGCGTTTCCGGATCTATACCTGACCCAAAAACGGTCCGAGACGCGGGTCGCCGTTTCCAGGCGTTTCCGGACGTTTCCCGTTTCCCGGATGTTTCGGAAGCGGAAACTTGGACCCTTTTGGCGTTTCCGTGCATCCTAGCTATCATCCATGAACCAATAATAATACATACTTTGAAAATGACTTTTAATAATACCAACTATTTGAATGTAAAACAAAAATAATACGGAGTCACTTTTTGACAAAAAAAATTGGTCATTCAAGACATAAAAAACTAATGGCAACCCATCAAATAAATGATACTTGGAAATATATTCACTTTTTAGATATTTTGGTACAAGTTTTTGATGAGTTAAATGGTTAAATATTTAGTAAAAAATTGCTCTATATCATTTTTGGTCTATATTTAAATATTGGTTCATATGTGTTTTGTTACTATTTGCAAATTTATATCTAACATTATATTTGGTTCATTATTATCGCTTCTTGGTTCATTATTTTGAGTTAATTTTTTTTTATTTCAATCCAAACCTTAATACTTTGGTAAACCAAACTCCAAACCGAACCGAACCATACCAAACCGAAACCAAACCGAAACTTAATCGGTTTGTATTTGGTACATTATCTATCAAACCGATTAAATCGAAACCGAACCGAAACCGAAGAAAACCGAACAGAAAACCGAAATGCCCACTCCTAGGATGAGTGTTGTGGAGAGGAGTTGGAGGTATAAAAGAGGAGGAATCAGATGATGTTGATTGAGAGATGACAGTGGTGTCATTTAAGGGATGAGGAGGAGTTGATTCAGTTTGAGAGAATTGTGGATGATCAATTGGATGACTAGTATTGAACTGAGGTGTAGTGGATGAAGATGGAGGAATGGAAGAAGGATTGGAAGAAGTACTGGAGGTATTGGAAGTTGCACTGGCACCATTGTCGGAGTTGAGTTGTGAGGGAAAAGGAGGAAGTATTGTGATTGGAGCTGAGAGTGAAACTGGGACATTATGAGATGGACTGAATGTGGAAGGAAATAAAGTAGGATAAAGAAATTTTGTTTCATTGAAGATGACATCCCTGGAAAGATAAATTTTGCCACACGGAGAAAGGCATTTGTAGCCTTTATGTTGGGATGAGTGCCCCAAAAAGACACCTCCTTTGAGTGATAGTCCATTTTATGTTTGCTGTAAGGTCTAATGAAGGGATAGCAAGAGCAACCAAAACCTTTGAGAAAGATATAATCAGGAACAGTTCCATAAAGTTTGAAATGTGGACTGAGATTTGCAATAGATTTAGAGGGAAGTTTGTTTATAAGGTGTACAGCAGTGGCAAAAGCAGTGTGCTATAATTTGAAAGGTAAGGAGGAATGGGCTAAGAGACATAGACCTTTCTCAACAATGGTGCAATGTTTCCTCTCAACAACACCATTTTGATGGTGTGTATGAGGACAGATACCTATGAGTGATACCTTTTTGAGTAAGAAACTTTGTGAATGACCTGAATTCTCCTCCCCAATCCGATTGTATTGACTTAATAGAGGTGTTGAACTGATTTAAGATGTATTTGATAGAAGTTTTGGAATGCTAGAAAGGCATCAGATTTCTTTTTGAGAAAATAGATCCAAGTGTACTAATTGAAGACATCAATAAAGGATATATAGCAAGTGTAACCATCAAATGATTGAATAGGGGCTGGCCCCCATAAATCAATAAAAATCAGTTCAAAAGGAGAACAAAAGTCCATAGCATTTTTATTGATATAGGAAAGGTTACAAAGATTCTGTACAGACTTAAGGGCCTCAAAATGAGGATGACCTAGTCTTAAATGCCAAATATTACAATTGGTATTTGACTCAGAGTTATTACAAGTAGACATAAGAGAACTAGGACACACAATACTATTTAAAGAAGACTTGGACAAGTTTGGAGTAGACTTGTGAGACCCAAGAGCTGGAAAGGACTGGAACTTGTAAAGACCATCTTCACCAAGTATCTCATATAGCAGAATCTGTTTAGAAACCTGGGATTTGATGAAGCATTCATGAGGCTGGTAAAGCTAGTTTGAGTAAGGATGTTGAGGTTGTTTCATAGTAGAAGGATTAGAAATAGTGTAAGCTGGATTGTATCTGTGGTAACAAACAAGTGCACTGTGACCATTTTTGCCACATACATGACAAGTTACTAAGCTTCTACCACCTGAACGATCACCTCTGCCTCTACTAAAACCTCCACGAGCTCTACCTCTATAGGAGGAAATGCCATTAGAAGTATAAAACTGAGCAATTTGAGCTGAAGCATTTTCTAAAGTGTTCTGAGTTTCAGTTTCAGTGTTTTGAAAAGGAGTTTCAAGTCGAGCAACATTAGCAGAAAATATTGTTTGTTGTGAGAAATCACGAAGTTTTCTCAGTCGTAATTCCTTAGCCAATAAGAGACGTTCAAGTTCAGAGATAGTGACAGGGTCTAAAATGCTTCGAGAAGTGATAGATGATATAAGCGATTCGTAATCCTCAGGAAGACCTTCAAAGATCACATTAATGTGATCCTTGGTTGATATAGGTTCACTGAGAGACATTAGATTATAAACTATTGTCTGAATACGAAGCAAATAGTCAGAAATTGAGCGATCACCTTTTCCAGTGTTATAGAGTTCCGATTTCAGTTGACGAGCCCTTGCGATGATACTTGATCGAAAAAATTTCTGAATTTCACTCTATAGTTCGTGCAAATGCTTGCAATTGATGACGCGAGCGTGAAGTGATTCAGAAAGCGAAGCCAAGAGCCAGGAAAATAGCATTTGATCTTGTTGCTCCCAGTTGTATGCTTCGTTGATTGTTTTGGCTCCATTTTCATCAACTGCGAATCGTTCTGGTATCTGAGGATTCTCTATGAATGTGAGAAGTTTGTGAGCACGTATTACAGATTCAACGTGATGTCGCCAGAACAGGAAAATTGTTGAAATCAAGTTTAACAGGTAGAGGATGATGAAAAATTACCGGAGAAGATTGTGAGGCAGAGTGCGAAGATGTTTGCGAGGATGTAGAATTAAATGTAGAGTTCGTCATGGTTAGATCGAGCAAAGCTTTGATACCATATTAGAGTTGAAGCAAGGTAGAAGATGGAAATGAAATCACCTTATTGAGAATGAGAGATTATAGAGTATTTATACGAGAATCTAGTTACATTGTATTACAAAGAAATACACGACTACATGTGTAGTTTTCATACACTATTGCCTAACACGACGTATCGCCGTGATGTCACCACGACAGACACCATATCACCATGGCAGTATGGCGGTCTGATGGCACCGCGCCACGAAACCCCGCCATAGTGACTATGGAATTGGAGTTTTGAATTGAAGAACCTTATATGGCATTCTATTTATCAATTAAACAGAATGTAAAACTGCATCACCACACGAAGTATTTTGGAATATTGGTAGAGAACATAAGTGCACGAGCAACCTCTAAAATATTTTTTCTTTCTGCTGTACCATTTTATTGTGGTGTTACATTACATGAACTTTGTTGAACAATCATTTTTTCTTTAAGAAATTCTTCTAAAAATTCTGCAAGATACTCCCCACCATTATCACTCCAAAGAAGTTGGATTTTTGTGTCAAATTGTGTGAGTATCATGTTATAGAAATTTCTAAAAACTTGCTCTACTTCAGCCTTTTCTTTTAACAAAGATACTCAACAAACTGTAGTGTGGTCATCAATTAGTGTTATAAACCATCTTTTGCCATAACATTTTGTGATATGTGAGGACCCCAAAGGTCTATGAATCAATGCAAATGGTTTGTACAGAAGATTCATATGGACCAGGAGTATATATGCTTTCATGATGTTTAACAAGTGCACAAATTTCACATTGGAAAATAGAATGATCTGTATTTCAAAATAAATTGGACACAATAAGGTTATCAAAAGGGGTTCTATCAGATTCAGTTATGGTTTTTAGAATTTGCTCTATTCGTCTTTGAGTGAATTGGGCCGGTTCTGATTTGACTTGTTTCTCTTGAGTGGGTTCAACCATGGTGTGAAGAGCTCGATTGGATTTAGCTTTCCATCCGGGTGTTTTTTTGTGAATCTTCCAGCGTTTCTTAACTTTGTTGCAGCTGTGCCAAAATTTCTTGCAGAAATCACCAGCGTTTCTTGACTTTCTTCTTCTTGTACCCACCTTGTTTGTTGTTTCGAACTACCAGGGCAGAAGCATTATTTGTATTGTTGCCACTGTCCATCAGATGTTTGTCCGTGTTCATGATCTTAGGCCGATTTTTTTCCAAGACAAACTTCAGGGAATACCTTGCAGATTGGCTTGAGGGGACTGCGACCAAGAATTCTGCCCTTGAAGTTGAAACCATGTTTGTCCGTGCTTTGATTCACGTTGAAACCCTAGTTGTATTGGGCTTAGCCCGTCTTGTATAGTAACCCTAGTGCTCTAGTTTTTGCTATAAATATAGCTACTTGTATAGTTCTTAATATCAAGATTCATTATAATGAAATACAGTTTACATAGTTCACATGGTATCAGAGCCATTTATATGGCGCACTGTATTTAGGACATTGTTTTTTTCGGGCGAGTATTTCCGGTGTGAACAGTAGCCGCGTTAGGCGTTGCACTTCCGGTAGTGATATATCAAATCTACACCTACCGCCTTGCTCAGCGCACCATCTCGACCAGCCCGCCAGAAACCGTATCGGCTCGGACTCATTCACGTGCCTACACGCGCCACCACTTTACCCACAGTTTACTGAACGATTTTGCAGATCTACTCCGATTTACTCTACCCACGGTTTACAGAACAACAAGGTCTTCAGAATATCGTATACACAAATCTACGAATTAGACTACACTGACACATTTTCTCCTGTTGCAAAAATTGCATATGTTCGTCTGATTTTATCCATGGCACCAATGAGCCACTGACCATTGTTTCCATTGGATATTAAAAATGCATTTCTCCATGGTGATTTACATGAGGAGGTTTATATAGAGCAACCACCTGGTTTTGTTGCTCATGGGGAGTCTGGTTTGGTTTGCAGATTACGTCGTTCTTTATATGGGTTGAAACAATCCCCACGTGCATGGTTTTTGGGAGATTTAGTGTTGTTCGTGGTTTTGCCATGACTCGGAGTGATGTAGATCATTCCATATTCTACAGACATTCTGCAGGCAATAAATGTATATTTCTTGTTGTATATGTTGATGACATTGTCATTACAGGTAATGATGACCAAGGAATTGCCCAACTCAAGGAATATCTTTTTAGCAAATTTCAAACAAAAGACTCGAGAAAACTAAAGTACTTTCTTGGTATTGAGGTTGCTCAATCAAACAATGGAATTGTGCTCTCACAGAGGAAATATGCATTGGATATTCTTGAGGAAGCAGGTATGTTGGATTGTAGGCCAGTGGATACACCAATGGATCCAAACGTCAAACTCGTGTCAGAACAAGGTGACCTCCTGCCCAATAAAGAGAGATATAGAAGGCGTATTGGGAAATTGAACTATCTTACCATCACAAGACCAGATATTTCATTTGTTGTTAGTTTGCTTAATGCTTAGTCAGTTTCTTGATAAGCCATGTGATGGACATTGGGACGCAGCTATCCGAGTCTTGAGATACATCAAGAAAACTTCAAGACAAGGATTACTCTTTGAAGATCGAAGGCACCATGACATTGTTGGATATTGTGATGCAGATTGGGTTGGTTGTCCAATGGATAAACATTCTACTTCTGGATATTGCATTTTGATTGGTGGAAATTTAATTTCTTGGAAAAGTAAGAAATAGGATGTGGTTGCCAGGTCTATTGCTGAAGCAGAATATCATGCAATGGCCCTTGCCTCATGTGATATATTATGGTTGAAGCATCTCCTTCAAGAATTAAAATACGGAAGCATGAAGTCCGTCAAGCTAATTTGTGATAATCAAGCTGCAATGCACATTGCTTCCAATGCAGTGTATCATGAGAGGAGTAAACACATTGAAGTTGATTGTCACTTTATTCGAGAAAAAATCACAAATGGACATATTACTACTCATTATGTCAAAACAACAAATCAACTTGCAGATGTTTTAACCAAGTCTCTTAGAGGGCCTAGGATGCAATATATTTGAAACCCTAGTTGTATTGGGCTTAGCCCGTCTTGTATAGTAACCCTAGTGCTCTAGTTTTTGCTATAAATATAGCTACTTGTATAGTTCTTAATATCAAGATTCATTATAATGAAATACAGTTTACATAGTTCACAATTCACACCAGCGAGGAACATAAAGACATGGTCATTTTTTTCATGCTTCTGCTGACAAGCTTGGTCGTTCTAGTTCTCCCATATGTCATTGCAGTGATCAAGTTCCTGCCAAAAAGTGACCATTTCGTTATAGTAGGTGGTCACATCAAGTTGGCCCTGTTTGGATTCCTATAGTTGGGGTTTCAGCTCAGGTTTGTGCGAAGTTCTCAAGGTCTGAAAAGGTCTCACAATCAGCATGCTAAACTTCTTTCATAGTTTTGAGGAACATATGGGATCGAGCCATCAATGAATCCATTAGAATGAGCAGTCACACAATGGTCAAGGAGTTCACCAATCATTATACTTTGTAATTAGGTTTATCTGTTGTCGGGACATGGGTTTTGCCTGTTAAGAACCCTAGTTTACCTCTATCATTAATGGCCAATGACGCAGCAAAGAAGCACGAGATTAAACAATGGTTAATCCCGAATTGATACTCGAGTTCACCAGCAACGAAACTAAAAAAAGGCTTTCAGAAATCCACCGAAACTAGAGAAAACTCTTTGTATTATTCAGGAATGTGTAATATCCATAATAAAGTAATTAGCATCCTTAAATACTGTCTTAAGATGTGGTTTAAAACCCCATCTCAACAAGACATAAATTCTGGGTAAGTAGGAATTTAGAAAGGCACAAACATAAATCCTGGGAAGTAGGAATTTAGAAAGACACAAAATATAAATTTAAAACCTAGTTTATTACGAGGCTTATTTTGACACTGGACGTCAAATTTGCATAGTTCTCGGCATCCCTTTTCGGGGTCCCACCTCTGCTTCAATTTGCTCAGCCAAGCGCTCTACATCAGTCTCCTCCACCTGTGAAGAACTCGACCCCGAGTTCTGATCGGGATATAGAACACAATCCTCGTGATATGCATATATGTCAGCCACATTGAACGTGTTAGAAATATTCAGAGAGTAGGGGAGAGCAACGACATAAGCATTGTCGTTAATCTTCTTTGTTACATTGAATGAGCCATACTTGCGGGGCTGCAACTTCTTGTAGGTGCCTACTGGAAACCTCTCTTTTCGCAAAAATACTATCGCATCATCACCAACTGTGAATACCTTCAACCGCTTGTGTTTGTCCGCAACAGCCTTATTCTTCTGCCCCGTGGCCTTTAGCTTAGCTTTTGTAGCCTCTTTAACAGCTTGCACATCTCTGGCCATAGTTTCACCAGCGGAGCTCACTCCAGGAGCTTTAGGCAACGGCACCAGATCCACTACATGTCTGGGGGCGGAAGTGTAGACCAGAGAGAAAGTTGTTACCCCCGTGGCTGTGTGCACAGCGCTGTTGTAAGCAAACTCTACCTGCGGTAATGCTAGATCCCACTGTTTTGGCTTTTCCCCGCAAACACTTCTGATCATATTTCCCAGTGTCCTGTTCGTTATTTCGGTCTGTCCATCCGTTTGCGGGTGAGCGGTAGAAAAAAAAAATGGCTTCTATTTAACGTTGTTCCAAATAACGTTGTCCCTATCCGAAGTAATGGTTTTAGGAACTCCAGGTAAACGCACCATCTCCCTGAAAAATAATTTGGCTATATTAGAGACATCCGCAGTTTTCTTGCAGGCTATAAAATGGGACATCTTGGAAAACCTATCAACCACTACGAACACGGAGTCCACACCTCTCTGTGTACGAGGTAAACCGAGCACAAAGTCCATAGAGAGGTCCTGCCAGATGTCATCCGGGATGGGCAGAGGCATATATAGGCCAGTGTTTTGGGATTGGCCTTTATAAACCTGACAGGTATAGCACTTCCGAACAATGGTACTGAGGTCTTTCTTCAGGTGAGGCCAAAAATAATGTTCCTCGAGGTTAGCCATAGTCTTATCCCTGCCCAGATGCCCACTAAGTCCGCCTCCATGCAATTCACGAATTAACTTCTCTCGTAGTGAAGTTCGGGGAATACAGAGTCGATTTCCCTTAAAAAGGTAGCCTTCATTAATATGAAAATCAGCACTCGGATGGAGATCACGGCACTTGGTCCATAATTCGTGGAAATCGGTGTCATTCTCATACAACTCTTTCAGCAACTCAAAGCCTATAATTTCCTGGGCTAATGTGATTAACAAGGAAGCCCTTCGACTCAAAGCATCGGCTACCTTGTTCTGAATCCCAGACTTATGTTGAATAATAAAAGGAAATTTCTGCAGATAACTCACCCATTGTGCGTGCATCTTGTTTATGATCTTCTGGCTGTGGAGAAATTTCAAGGCAAGATGGTCAGTAAATAGAATAAACTCCCTCTGGACCAAATAATGCTCCCATTGCCTGAGAGCACGAAGCACTGCATAAAATTCTTGGTCATAAGTACTACACTTCTGTCTGGCTTCACTTAATTTCTCACTAAAGAAAGCCACTGACTGTTTTTCCTGTGAGAGTATAGCACCTACCCCGATGCCACTCGCGTCACACTCAACTTGGAATATTTTATCAAAATCAGGCAAAGCAAGAACTGGTGCAGTGCAAAGCTTTTCTTTGATCAATGCAAAACTTTGTTCTAATTCAAGGCCCCAACAAAACTTTCCTTTTTTCAGACAATCAGTGATAGGAGCGGTAATAGTGCTGAAATCCCGCACAAAGCGCTGGTAGAAAGCGGCTAACCCGTGGAAGCTGCGTACCTCGCTGACAGACTTGGGAGCTGGCCAATCTCTAATTGCTCTCACTTTCTCATCATCTACATGAACCCCGTTCTTACCAATAACAAAACCCAGAAAAAGCAATTGGTTGATGCAGAACATGCATTTCTTTAGGTTAACATATAACTGGTTTTCTTGTAAGACTTGTAACACTTCCCTGAGGTGCTTCAAATGTTCCTCCTTAGTTTTGCTGTAAATGAAGATGTCATCAAAGTAAACTACCACAAAAAAGCCAATAAAAGGATGAAGAACCTGGTTCATTAATCTCATGAATGTGCTGGGTGCGTTGGTTAGCCTGAATGGCATCACTAGCCACTCGAAGAGGCCGTCCTTTCACTTAAAAGCGGTTTTCCACTCATCCCCGGGTCTGATCCGAATTTGGTGATAGCCGCTGCGTAAATCTAATTTTGAGAAAAATTTAGCTCCTGCCATCTCATCAAGCATATCCTCCGGTCGCGGTATTGGGAATCTGTATTTGATGGTAATCTTGTTGATGGCCCGGCTGTCAACACACATTCTCCAACGATTCTCCTTCTTAGGAACTAGAAGAACCGGAACAGCACAAGGACTCATACTTTCCCTGATAAGCCCCTTTTTCAACAGTTCTTCAATTATCTCCCTTAGAATTTTGCTCTCCTTAGGTCTCATGCGGTAGTGAGGAAGGTTAGGCAAACTGGCTCCCGGGATTAAATCAATATGGTGCTGAATGTCACGCGTAGGAGGTAAACCGTTTGGCAGTTCCTCGGAAATAAGCTCACTGAAATCCCTCAAAATGACATGTACTTTACTCGATACTTCAATACTCTCCTTGACGGCGCTCAACAATCCCTTCAGTACTACTGGATAAATACACTCGACGTCTTGGATGGCTGTATCCAACTCTTTTATGTTATCAACCATGATAAGAAAAGTAGATTTCTCTTTTTTTGAATCCTTATCGAAATTGGCTACCGGTGCTATAACGATTTTGTGCCCCTCCCAGGTGAACAACAATACATTATCACGACCCCGATATGTGATATCGTTGTCATACTGCCAAGGTCGACCAAGTAACACATGGCACACATCCATATTCAAAACGTCACACATAATCTCATCCTTGTAGTGCTTCCCAATAGAGATAGGGACCTTGCAGGTTTGTGATACCCTCACTTGTGACCCCTTGCTCACCCAACCCAAAGCGTAGGGTTTGTGGTGTGGTTTTGTTTCCAATTTCAAATACTCCACTAGCTTCTGGGATACTAGATTCTCAGTACTTCCATTATCCACTATGAGGTTACACAGTTTATTCTTAATAGAACAGTTGGCACGAAACAAACTTTTCCATTGTCCTTCCTCCTTGGATGAGAACAAAATTCGCTGGACCACGATATTCACTCTCTCCTCAGTTTCTTCTTCAGCAAACTCAGCACCTTCATATTCATCAGTTTCCTTTTCATTTTCATACTCGGCAAGAGCAACCGTTCTCCGGGAAGGACACACGTTGGACTTATGTCCGAATCCCTGACAGCGGTAGCATTTATCTCCACTGGGCCAAGCATATGGGTTAATGGCCTTCTGAGTCGGTGTTTTGTCGGGTCCCTGGTTATAATTGCTTGTTGTACTGCTTCCTTTAGTTACAGATTGCGTTTCTTTAGGCACAACCTCCTTTTCCTTCTCATTCGCTGTCTCCGGAGTGTTTTGTGATGTAAACTTGCGAAAAAATGGAAAAATTTTAGGAGATTTTTCCATCAGTTCTGCCTTCAGAGCTAACGTAGAGGCTTCATTAATGCTCCATACGGTCTGCAAACCCATCTTTTCCTGTATTGAACCCTTTAATCCGCTGATATAACGAGCCACCCTCTGCCCCTCAGTCTCGCCTAGTTCATTGCGATCGGACAAACGTATAAACTCAGTTGTATATTCACATACACTCCTCCGGCAAGAAGCGATCTATCATCAGTTGCCTCATATGTCTCCAAGTCCTGATTGGTTCTTTCCTTTGGCATTGCCCTTGATAAACTAACTTATCCCACCATACTGCAGCAGTACTTTTCAACCTAATCGCAACCATCTTGACCTGCTTGCTTTCCGGCACTTCCATAACATCGAAAAATCTATCAACGTCGATTTGCCAATCAAGAAATTGTTCAACTCCAGTGTTTCCATAAAACAAAGGGATATCAGCTTTCACTCTGTAATCCTGGCGATCGTGTTGATCATCATTATAGCCTATGGGTTCTTCTTCCTTTTCTTCGGACTCAGAACTATCTTCTGCCCGATTCCCCCATGTCGAGGATGCCGATGCCGACCCTCTCTCATATTTCCCGGTCTCCTAGTGTGGTCGTCGTTACTAAGAGTGGCTATCTGCGTAGATAGCTGGGCGGTCATAGCGGCAAGAGCCTCAGTGATCCTGGTGGCGAATCCATCAAGGTCTGCTCAGGTAATTGGATGATCTCCCATACTATTTCAGCCAAGAAAAGAATAGGAGAAACCTGCTCTGATACCAAACTGACGCAACAAAGAAGCACGAGATTAAACAATGGTTAATCCTGAATTGATACTCGAGTTCGCCAGCAACGAAACTCAAAAAAAAGGCTTTCGGAAATCCACTGAAACTAGAGAAAACTCTTTGTATTATTCAGGAATGTATAATATCCATAATAAAGTAATTAGCATCCTTAAATACTATCTAAGATGTGGTTTAAAACCCCATCTCAACAAGACATAAATTCTGGGAAAGTAGGAATTTAGAAAGGCACAAACATAAATCCTGGGAAGTAGGAATTTAGAAAGACACAAAACATAAATTTAAAACCCAATTTATTATGAGGATCTTTTTGACACTAGACGTCAAATTTGCATAGTTCTCGGCATCCCATTTCGGGGTCCCACCTCTGCTTCAATTTGCTCAGCCAAGCGCTCTACATCAGCCAACTTCACGGATTGTGACCATTCCAAGGGGAAAAATAATAAAAATACCCCAAACTTTGAAGGGGTGTGAGGTAAATACCCCAAACTTGCATATGTAATTTAAATACGCTAAACTTTAAATAAAAAGTTATTTTTGCACCATTGTCATGTATTATTTCTTTCAAAAATATAAATTTATGGGGTTAATTCCATAATTTAAAATAGAAAATTAAAAGTGTTGCAATTATATAGATTGGGGGTAACATTATTTATTTGGGTGAATTACCTAAATAGGAGTAAAAAAGTTTTGAAATTCCAAAATAGGACTATCATGTTTTTTATTCCTTGAATAGGAGTAAATTTTTGCCAAGTTTGGCATTACTAAGCTTTAAAACATGACATTTTTTTTCTAAACTTGGCAGATTACTCCTATTTAGGGAATAAAAAACATGATACTCCTATTTTGGAATTTCAAAACGTTTTTGCTCCTATTTAGAGCAATTTCTATATTTATTTTCTATTGCAAGCTTAAAATTTAATACCATAAATTTTGAATTATGCAATTATCACCATAATTTTTTTTTACATTTTTGAAAGAAATAATAGTTGTTATGGTGCTAAAATAACTTTTTATATAAAGTTTGGGGTATTTAAATTACATATGCAAGTTTGGGATGTTAATCTCACACCCTTATAAATTTTTGGGGTGTTTAAATTACATATGCAAGTTTGGGATGTTAATCTCACACCCTTTTAAAGTTTGGGGTATTTTAATTATTTCTCCAAGTAGTTGCTTCCGTTCAGTCTATGAACAGTAACCTGCATAGATGAATGAAGTGCTTTTCTTGAAGAGATCGTAGAAGACACGAGAGGTAGGGTAGTGTTTGAACTGATTTTGGATATCGGATCCATTGAAAAAAAGTTCGCTCGGCTATTTTTTTGGGGTAGGCTCTGATACCATTTAGGTTTGAATAGTTGAAATAGCGTAATCATTAGAGTCAAAGGAGGATAAATATACATGTGCAGGAGGTTACAGATCCTAAATAATAGGAAAAAACTATATAATGGGAATAGAATAACAATAAACTATCTCCCTAAATGTGCTACAACTCTCTAATAGTATACTAGGATAATACTTCTAATCATATACACCAATATTTATGTAAATCTACTAGATAAAATGCTAAAACTTCCACTTCATACTACCTTTGTAATTTAGTAGTTGCAACATCTGGAATTTTGTACTATGTACATACTCTACTTCGATTATATTTTATTGGTTAATGTGTTAACAAAATAAATTGTTAATAATAATTTTAATGTCGTGTCAATTTAAACTATAAAAATATATGATGTTATATTTTTATATTGTTTACTAATAGTCATTTAAATATATCAATAGTCAAAGTTGTGTATTGTCAAATTTGAAAGTCAAAGTGTTGCATTTAAAAAAGAACAAAGGAAGTATATTGTATCCACTTGTATGAAAAATAATGTCAAAACCTCAAGAAAATTATCTTTTCCCCTTTCTGGTGTGCATGCTTTTGTTTGAATATGAACGGTTTTAGTGTATTTCTCTACAGATTGCATGAAAAAAAGATGATCAAACTTAAGTCACCAAACTTCCATGTATCAAGGACTCGACTAATTATATACAATCTTCCAAAATCAATGACTGATAAAGAGCTTAAGAAACTTTGCTTAGATGCAGTTACTTCTCGAGCTACTAAGCAAAAGCCCATGATCAGGCAGGTAAGTGGTGATTAGTTATTTAGTAATCACCACAGATGGCTCTGTTTATCTATCTACAGACTAGCAATGTTCCATAACTTTTGTGTTTCTCTAAATTGCAGATAAAGTTTTTGGAGGATATTAAAAGGGGTAAACTGGTAGTCAAGAATCACTCTCGTGGAGTTGCCTTTGTTGAGTTCACTGAGCACCAACATGCACTTGTGGCTCTCAGAGTTCTTAATAATAATCCTGGTAATACTCCTTAATTCCTTGTATACTACACTCCAATAGAAATACTCTTTATGGACTCTGGTTCTTAAATAACGATTATTTAAAGTATTGGTGGTCCTTGTAAGATTTTGTTTACAATTGCATTGAAGCTTTTAACCCTCTCCCCTTCCTACTATTTGCCCCTTATTGAAGACTTGGAGTATATGTGGGATTGTGCTGTTCATTACTGAGGTAATTGTAGTGTGAGATGATTTAGAGTTTTATAAATGTTTTTATTGATCTGTTTAATTTCATCACTCACAAGTGACTTGTTTCAAGGACCAGATGGAGTACTGTTTAGTTTTTTTGGGTGTAGAGAGCATTATTTTAACTTGTCTTTCAATTTATCCACCTCAGGTGATTCTAAGCTGAATTATCTCATGTCATTACATGTGTTCCAGGGACTTTCGGACCAGAGCACCGTCCAATTGTAGAGTTTTCTATTGATAACGTCCATACACTGTTGCGCCATAAAGAGAGGAATCAGGTTCAGGCAACTGGGTTTCATCACAAGATAGAAAAAATAAAAGTTGACCCAAATGGCTCTAAACATAAGACAGAAAATTCACGAGAAAGTGAAAAGTCAAGAAAGCGCAAATCCAACGATGACCAAGAAGCAAACACTGAACGAGCCAGAACTGCAAAGAAGCAAAAGCAAAAGAAAGTGTCGATAGGTTCAAAGGAGGAGGAGAAACCTAAAGAGAACAATGGAAAAGGAAGGCTCACAGATGTTAGATCTCAACCAATGATGAGTGCCCACACTAAGTCTACACATATTGAAGGCAGGACTCATAGATCAAAGGGTAGACTGAGCGATGAGACTCATCTGGAGAAACAAAGCAACACCTCGGGGGGAGGAAAAAAACGTAAAAAGAATGCGGACCCAGTGGGACAGGATGTGATGGACAAGCTTGACGTGCTCATTGATCAATACAGATCCAAGTTCACAAAGGGTAGTTTCAACCAGAAGAGTGGCAACAAAAAGCAGCTGAAGAGATGGTTCCAATTATAATCCATTTAATCCAACCTGCCTTTTGACAAATAGAACTAAAAGTTATGTTGTGCAATTCTGTCAAAAGGTGCAGTTTCCCTTGGTTTATCATTCACAAGTTTGCACTCAATAATCAACACTGTATTTTGTAAACCTGGTTTCTCTACTATTCTACTTCTCTGTTCTTTTTGTATATTTTTACTTGGGAAAAGATTGGTTGTGACATTCCAATTACCTAAAAAATACTACGTTGCATGACTAGTATCTAAGAGTATGATGATATCTTGATATTATAAAGAACATAGGATTAGTTCCAAAAACAGAAATTTATGTTTTGTTATTCTCAAAATAGGAGTACTGATTTCAAGTTTTCCACCATACCCCTTCTTTATTTTCTTTCTCAGTAAGCTAGCAGCCCCCCCCCCTCCTTCTTTCTTTTCTACTCTTTCCTTTGTCTTCCTCCCCTCTCCTTCCATGCTCTCGCATCTCTTCTCTCATGGAGTTTTAGCTTCCATTTCCTCAATTCCTTCCTCCCCCTCTCGATTCTAATTCTTGTTTTTCACTTGATATTTTTGATGCTATTGTTCCTTTGAACAAGTTGCAGACAGATGAGATTGAGAATGTTGCTCATGAGAGTCCCAAAATTTACAAGAAAGACTAACCATTTTCATCACAAGTCCATTTTGAGGAAGGATGTTAAACTTGGAAAAAGTGTTGTTGCTCGACTCATTTAAAGTTGGTACATACATATTTCTTTTTAGAAGTAGTTTTAGGGATGGACTTGGCTCGGGCGGTCTGACCTGGGAGTCTGGGACCGATTCAGGACCGGTACTGTTGACCTCGGTCTGGGCTCGGTGTGTTTCGGGCTTGATTTTTTGGGTTCGGCTTGGGCCCAATTGTTATTTTTATAATTTTGTTGGGTGGGTACTGACCCGGGCCCGCCACTGTTTGGGCTCGGATTGGAATCTGTACGACTGTACCGGAGCATACTAGGTTGGTATCGGGCTTCACTTTTCCAGAATCAGTACAACTGGATTCTGACTTGGTTGTCAACTTAATAGCTTTTAATCACTTAGATAGTTAGGTGTCAAATTAGTATGGGCTGTCAACTTAGATTTTTTTTTTTTTAGCTTTTTGCGTGTGAGAGGCAACAAGATGGGATAAGTGGATCTCTCACACGAGATGGTGACCATCGTAACACATGTCATGATCGGATCTAAGGTGGTCGACGTGCTTATCATTTGGAAGACCAGTCTGATCCCCACACCTTGTGGATGAGAATCGGATTTTCGGATCGGCCCCACAGTGCCAACGTCCATACACCAAACATGGCCTCACGGCACGGTGTGACCATCTATCTAGTGATGGACTCGGGCCGGGTGGCCCGACCCGGAACCAGCCCGGGATCGGTACTGTTCCGGCCTGGCCCGACCCGGTGGCCCGGTCAGTGACCAGTCCGGGTAGGCCCGGCCCGTGGGTTTTCCGGTCCGGGCTAGGGTCACCCAAAATAAGGCCCGACCGGGCCGGGCCCGAGCCCGGTTCGGGCCAAAAACTTTTTTTTTTTTCAATTTTTTTTAAAATTTTGGGTTGGGCTGGATATTTTGGGCCATTTGGGGTGGTTTGGGGGTTGGGGGTGGGAGGGGGGTTAATTAGGAAGAGGAAAACAAAAAAAAAATTATAATGGGCCCGGCCCGGACCCGGACCGGACCCGGTGGTTACCCGGACCGGTCCCGGGTCCACCATTTCTGACCCGCCTGCCTGCCCGGGCCTAGGCCCGGCCCGGACCCGAGTCTATCCATACATCTATCTGAGGACCAGTTTCATCCTCGCACCTTGCAGATTAATACAGCTACTTGGATATTCTGGATTGGCCTCTCAGTTAGGGGTGGACTCGGGCCGAGCCAACCGGCCCGGAACCGGACCGGCTCGCTACTGTGCGGGCCCGGACCGGCCCGGTGAACCGGTTGGTTGGCCAGTTCGGGCCACCCGGCCCGGTGGGATCTCGGTTCGGGCTCGGGCCCTTCAAAAGGTGAACCGGCCCGGCCGGTTCGGGCCCGGGCCAGGCCAATTTTTTTTTTTTTTGAATTTTTTTAAAGTTTTTGGGTTGGGCTGGGTATTTTGGGCCATTTGAGGCGAATAGGGTTGGTTTGGGGGTGAGGGGGAGGGTTGGGGGTTAACTAGAAAAAGCCCAAAAAAAAAATATAATCGAGGCCCGGCCCGGTCCGGATCCGGGGGTTACCCGGGCCGGTTCCGGGCCTCCCATACCTTGAACCGAGGCCCGGCCGGTTCAAGGCCCGAACCGGGCCCGGCCCGAACCGAGTCCATCCTTACTCTCAGTGCTGACGTCCATACATCACGATCGGCCTCTTGGTATGGTGTAACCGTGTAACCATCTACATGAAG